GGAGAGAGAGAGAGAGAGGGTGCAAAATAGAAATGAGTACCAAAACAATAAATAAATATCGCACGAACCAAAAGCATGCATCACAGCAGAAAGGCTGAGATACTCGAACATATAATCTTCCCTACGCGGAAATCGAAATCACGTTTTTTTTCCCCATAAGAGTCTTACGGCACTTGCAACACAATAAGGTCAGATAAGTACCGAAGATTATTAGGTCTGTTACAAGGAAGTAACAGGCACAAAAAAAGGAGAGATGACGACAGACGTTTGATGGGAAAGAAGGAGCAAACCACAACAGAGCACCTGCCAACCACCCACGTCTTTAGCACACACGACCAAGAGCACAACTACGACACCCCATACTCCTAAAAAAAAAAATAATAAAGTCCAGAGAAGACGACATATTATATACCAAAACAAAAGAGGGACGGACCACACACCACGCTCCAAACTTCCCCACTGGTGGTGTCAGAAATGCTCTAGATAAATGCAAACAAAGCAAAGATAAAAAAAACAACCCCAGCCCCCCCCCCCCCCTAAACAAAAAAACACCAAAAAAAAAACAACAACACATGTGTGTAACGACGTGCATGATTTAATCACTCCTCTAAAAGCCTGCGAGAACAAACACAAGAGAAGACAAACACGGAGGGGGTAGTAAGCATACACATAAACAAACGGCCGCCAGTCACGACTTTCGCCCGGTCCCCATGACCTCCATGTCTTCACAATGAAACGATTAGGGCGACATTCGTCTCGCAATCTCAGCCCCGCCATAAAACACAAAACTCGGCATGGAGATTATTTGTCTCTTTCTTAAAAGGAAAGGAGCAGGGAGCGAGCAATGGAATGGCTGGAAGAGGGCATCCGGTGCATCACAGGAATTTGTGCCACCCACCCCCACCCCCACTCCTTTCCAAACCCATGTTTTTTCCCTCTACAGGTCTGCTCACATACCAGTCTCTCTCTCTCTCTCTCTCTCTCTCTCTCTCTCTCTCTCTCTCTCTCTCTCTCTCTCTCTCTCTCTCTCTCTCTCTCTCTCTCCTGTTTTTAACAGCAAGTCCGCACATTTGGCAGTATCCACTGCCCCTACCCATTCTGCTCCCCCCCCTCACATACCACATTCTTTAAGCTCTGTCCGTCTTCGACTCACTCAATCACTTTCTCTCTCTCTCTTTTTTTTCTTTCTTTGTCTGTGTGTCTGTCGGTGTGTCTGTCTGTGTGTCTGTCTGTGTGTCTGTCTGTGTGTCTGTCTCTCTCTCTCGCACAAGAATCCTCTCCACATGCCCCTCGAGGTCAACGCTCTCCTGTGACCGGGCTACACAATAATTATAAATGTAATGGCGATCAGTGACTGGCCGGGGGAGAGAATTAATCGGGGTCTGCACAGCTGCTGTCTGTTGATGGGAGGATTATAGTACAGTCAGTGACTTCTCTCTCTCTCTCTCTCTCTCTCTCTCTATCTCTCTCTCTCTCTCTCGGGATTCAAACCAAAGCCACCCACTCCGAAGCCAAACAAGACAGAAGGAGAAGTAACGGTGCGTCACAAAGATGGCGTGGTTTGAGTTTGAATAACGAGAAGCACAACGATACAACAACGGCCACAATATAGTGCAAGGAAGAAGCAAGCCAGATAAACAGAAACAACAAAGGGAAAGAAAAGAAGTTGGACCTACCACCTACCAGTGGTTAGTTTTAGTAAGAGTTTCACGGCACTTGAAACCCAAAAAGGAAATACAAGTGTCGAATATTGGAAGTGTTACAAGAGAGTAACAAACACGAAAAAAGTAGGAGGAGAGATAAAGAAGATAGATGGTTGATAGGAAAGAAGGACGCCAATCACCGGCGAGTTTCAGTTTGACAAAAGAAAAGAACAGCACACTGATAAAATAAACAGTCATAATATAGTGCAGGAAAGAAACGAAACAGATAGACAGAAACAAAAACGGGAAAGAAAAGAAAGTAAGACCTACAAGTGGCACCCTCCGCCGACCACCCGCAAAGGCTGAGGTAATCGCCCAATAAATCGTCACACGAGTGAAACATCATCACCGAGTGACGGAGACAATACTTAACGTGAGACAAGACAGTGGAGAATTCTCCATGGCCGACGACGACACGACAGACAGATGACACACCCACCCACACACACATACACACACACACACGGAGAGAGAGAGAGAGAGAGAG